ACCAAAGATTTGACAACTTATATACAATGGTAAGACAGGGATAACTGGAATTGCCCTTCAGAAAGTCTGGAGGAGAGGAGTCTAGTTAGCTTTCCTTATGTCTCAAATCAGCTGAGGAGAACCCCTGATCTCACTGAGGAGACACCAATACTGTAAATGGTATGTAATGAGAATTAAGAGCAAAAAAAGATAAGAAAAGAACAAAAATCTTCCTTTGGTGACTATTTTACATGTGATGCACTTTATAATATTGAATCTATATTATTCATTTCTTGTTTACAAATGAGAACATCTATAAACAGATAAAAGTTTATAAATTGTTTTGATATCTGTATCCTTAAGTGGAACTAACACAGAGTTACTTTGATAGGCCCTGAAGGTGGCTTTGTGCTTTATATGTTTACTTTAAGTCAAACAACTATGATATGGGCATTCTGACTTATTTTAGAGCTAAACAAAAAGACATTCAGAGGAGTTATGGCCAATAGCTGGTAAGCGGCAGCTTGGAGACTACCTAACAAGTGCTGGGGGAAAATGACCTGGTGGAGTTCTTATTAAAAGCTCAAAAGAAATCATAGGAAACAGAAAAGATTTACAGATGTTATTTCTAGATGGCTAAGTTCTTTAACACAAGAAATAAAGATGAAGAAAAATCAACTTTTTCCAGCCTAACTGCCACCTTATAATCTGAGCTGTATGTGCACAGGAGGGGGATGCAGTCTCCCCATTTGCATCTACTGATGGTTTTTGCAGTTGTGTGTGCAGCACTACAAAGCACTACAACCTTGACTATGGAAATACAACTCTCTCAAGTCCCCCAAGTGCTCTTGCTAATGGACTGATATATCACCAACCTGAAGTAAACCCAAGATAAAAACAGAATGAGCTAGTATCTGGGGAGAGTATTCAGAAAGAGAAGATATAAAAACCAAGCAAGAGAAAAAAATTCACTCTTAAAGACCAAATCAGTGTGAATGCCTGAAATATGCTCAGCTGGATCACCGATTGCTCCAAGAAGGAGAATGTACCTTTTGAATTTCTGAACTACTTCAAGCCAGTCTTCTTAATGCTGGGAATGTGGTTATGGATAATGAAAAAATAGTTTCATATTGTGGAACTTAGCCATAATTTTTTTTCTTAAACATCTACTTTAGTTCTAATAGCTGAATGAAGATCAAAGGGAAATAGTATTCCCATTAAAATCTTAAAATTGAATTTCCTCCTACACAGTCAGGGAGTAATAATTTTGAAGGCACTGGACTGTTAAGATTATTATTTCTGTGATGTGAGAATGGTAATAAGAGTGTAAGGAATGGGGAGCCAAGATGGTGGCATGAGTAGAGCAGGAGAAATCTCCTCCCAAAACCATATATATTTTTGAAAATTCAACAAATACAACTATCCCTAAAAGAGAGACAAGAAGATACAGGAAAACAGCCAGACTACATCCACACCTGCGAGAATCCAGCACCTCGTGAAGGGGGTAAGATACAAGCCGTGGCCGGCAGGACCCAAACACCCCTCACCTCAGCTCCCGGCGAGAGGAGAGGAGTCAGAGCGGGGAGGGAGAAGGAGCCCAGGACTGCCAATCACCCAGCCCCAGCCATCCGCACTGGAGCGCAGACACACAGTGCATGGGGTGCTGGATACTAGGGAAATGGGTCAGTAAAACAGGCAAGCTGGTCCCTGCACCAGGCCCCTGGGACAAAGAAAAGCGAGTGCTTTTTGAAAGACTTAAAGAGACAGGGACCCCACCGCTGGACGGACACATCCTGGGACACTTAGCCCAGCAGCTGGGAATCCTGAGGAACTCCAGGAGCCCTAACCCCCTGGGCAGCAGTGAAGCTCGGAGGCCCCTTAAGGGAGATAAACAGCCTTCCGCTCGTTTCCCCTCCGACGCCGCTCCGCCATAGTGGAGCAGTAGCCTGAGGCCAGCCATGCCTACAGCAGCAGGGCAGCTTCTTTCACAGCGCTGGGCAAGAATTAGAAACCCCATCTGCATGCAGCTGCCCAGCACAAGTTGCTAGGGGTCATTGTTCTGCCAGGAGAGGAAGGCCACAAACCAGCAAGAAGGGACGTTCTCCCAGCCGACACATGCACCAGCTTCCCTCAACTACCTCTATTGCCATGAAAAGGCAGAAGAATTTGATACAGACCAGACTAACCCAGACATCCTCCCCTGAGAAGGAATCTGGAGAGATAGACCTAACCAATTTTCCTGAAAAAGAATTCAAAATAAAGGTCATAACCATGCTGACGGAGCTGCAGAGAAATATGCAAGAGCTAAGGGATGACGTCCAGAAGGAGATGACAGAAATGAAACAATCTCTCGAAGGATTTATAAGCAGAATGGGTAAGATGCAAGAGGCCATTGATGGAATAGAAACCAGAGAACAGGAACGCATAGAAGCTGATGCAGAGAGAGATAAAAGGATCTCCAGGAATGAAACAATATTAAGAGTACTGTGTGACCAATCCAAAGGAACAATATCTGCATTATAGGGATACCAGAAGAAGAAGAGAGACAAAAAGGAATAGAAAGTGTCTTTGAAGAAATAATTGCTGAGAACTTCCCCAAACTGGGGTAGGAAATAGCTGCTCAGACTACAGAGGCACACAAAATTCCTGAGAGAAGGGACCCAAAGAGGACAACACCAAGACATATAATAATTAAAATGGCAAAGATCAAGGACAAGGACAGAGTATTAAAGGCAGCCAGAGAGAGAAAAAGGTCACCTACAAAGGAAACCCAACAGGCTATCATCAGACTTCTCAACAGAAACCTTACAGGCCAGAAGA